AAATCATCTGCCAAATCGAAATTATCTCGACTAATTGCCAAAACATCCTCTTCAAATTCCAAACTGGCCATTTCTTGTTGCAAGTACTTGGACCTGAAAGCAGAATTCTCACATGGGAAACTTGCTGATGCAAGATCATAACAATCAAAATTGTAGTTAGAATTAATTAAAACATGATCATCAGCAAATGTGTTATCGAAATGGCTGCTTGGAAGACTATTTCCAAACCGGTTCATTAGCACATTTCCCTCTTGAAAATCGTTTTCCTTGCACACCATTCCTTCAAGATTAGTCTTCGTTTGAGTTAGTTCATTGTCATTTTGCCTCAATTCAGTAACATGATCCTCATTGATCCTTTGTCGCTTATTTGGAATGGATTTTTCTTCTTTTTTATAAATCCTACACAAAACCCAGTCATCAAGCTGCAAAGAAGGGAAATAAAACATTAAATTCATATCCGAAAAATCGAGTACTGAAAGGTTGAATAGGAGGCTTCCGAAGGTACCCTCATGTCATCTTCAGATAGTTTTACTCTAGGAGGTTGATGGACTCTATACTCCTGCATGATCCAGCTAGTTTTCGTTCCTTTTGGTGGTTTCCCTTTGTAAAAAACTAGTGCTTTCTTGGCTCCAACGACTTCATTATTATAATAAATAAGCTTGTCAGCTCCTGTTGCCTTCCAGTAACCATCGCCAGCTCCTCGATTCGGTCGACTGCCATTTTTATATTTTCGATCCCTTGGGGTGAAAAAGTACCACGAGTTTATTCCATTATCTGAGTAATTCTCTGCAAAATATAAATTAGATTAAAAAAAAAAAAAAAAAAGATAATCAAGAATGAAACACGAGATTACTTCAAACTTTAATAAAATAATAATCATTAACAAACGTTTGAAAAAATGAATAAAACCTGCTAAATCCTTAGGATTATGCTTGTAAAGCTCAACATCTCTTATAATGCTATACGGTATCGGCTTATTCATGATCCTATTGTTTAAGTAATGAAGAATGAGTTCATCGTCTTCAGGAATAAACCGATATCCTGGAGGAAACCAATGAGTATAAATTGGTTTATTTTCAGATGGACAATTTTTCAGCTGAGTTGCAGAATTAAGATGATTTGCAGGGCTAATAGGTCTCCGACCAGAGGCAATGAGATTTGCCCCTGGTGGCTGACCGGAATGCATGGTTATGAAAGGCCGGCCGAAAACTAGAGCCATGGCCTCACCTATTTATAAGAACAAAAAGATAATGTTTTTTTGGTTATCGAATTCAAATTTTGAATCAAAATAATCAAATATATTTATGTATATCTAAATTTTGTTTAGATAGATATAAAAATTAAAAAAGATAGAGTTTGTTGTATATTCAAATTAATTTTGAGATAAAATAACAAACGATATATATCAATGTTTCAATTAGATATATGTAAATTATCGTGATTTACATAATTACGATATTATGAAGTAAAAATTAAGTTAAATTTGTTCGACTAACTATTAGTGAGTTATTCAAGGTTAACCTATTCTTTTATGCTTTTTAATTATAATTATTTATAAAGTATTCAACAATTTACTTTTCAAATTTATTGATAACATGAAAGACTTAGTATCAAACTCACGGTAGCATATCGTGCAACTTTTAATTTTTCAATTAATTAATACGATGTAGCATTATTAATATTTTTTGGTTTAATTAAGATTGTTTATTTTTCGAAAAAATTGATTGATTTTGTTATCAATGTATTGTAAATCTTGGATTTTAATAATTAACGATCTGCAAATTTGTGTCGTATAAGAACTTGTGATGAATCAAACTATGACTAGCTCTTTTGTTTTTTTAATGAAAAGACACTCAATCGAGAAAATGGCCTTTAAAGCCTATACTGAATGTGAGGTTTAGTATAATTTCTAATCCAAATATATTAATATTGAAGAAAAATTAAATTGTTGGCCTAATCTCCAAAAAATTACAATCAATCGATTTACTCTACCAACAAATAATAATAAATATACAAGATACTAATTTTGCAAATCAAACTATGTATACAAGAATAAACTACAAAATAAGGAACAAACCCTACCAATATTCTTCAATTATGTAACTAGGAAATCTCGATTTTAACATAAACGACCAATTTCTTGATTTAAATCACTTCTAAACGATGTTTTAGAGGGCGTCTTCATAACATGTAATGTATTGGATAAATAACTTAGACCATCGTCAACCCATTTTGTCAAAATTACGAAACTTTTACATCATATTATTTAGTTGTCTCTGACCGAATTTTTTTATATTACCAACATCTAGTTTATTTAGCAAATTATTAATTACATACTATATTACCACTAAAATTATTAAATTAAAAATAATACTTCGTTTTAACTAAAATATAGCATTTATATTAAAATAAAATTAAAGAAATGAATATAATAGAAATTAAAACATTTGTATATACATTCATTAATGTCCTTATTCATCTGTTAATTTGTACCCTGGTGTCATTTGCATCCCTTTCTCTTCTACGAAAAGAGTCTATGAACCTCGTGTCGGCTGCTAGCTTCGTCGGACTGTCATTTCGATACTTTGGGCTTGGAGTAAAAAACGTACCAATCATTTTGCTCCTATTTCTGATATGTTTTTGTGTGTCCAATCTTACCAGTCGAAGAGCCGGGGGTGAGAAGCAGCAGTGAAAATTTTGTTTCAAAATCAACATTTTAGACTTTTTTTTTTTTTTTGGGGGGGGGGGGGGGGGGGGGGGGGGGAGTATTCCGGGCCATGCACCAGTCTATTAGGTGCTTTTTTATCATTACGAAGAAAGGAAATATATAACATACTGAAATTCACATAAAACTAATGTAAGATAAAAATTACATTGAAAACATTACTTTCTTAGAGCCATGTATTATAAGTATCATGGAACCTTCAAGGTCTTATGCCATGAAAATCCTACAATTTTCTTGTGAACCCTACTCAATACTCAGACATCGATCTGCAAGAATTAAAAAAATAATGTTATTATAATGTAGGAAAACACACTAAGATGTGAATAAGAATTAGGGAAGTATGTACCCTTCGTGTCGAATTCCTTTTAATGGTGGGAAAGCTAAGGAGACGATCAGCCGAAATAGCAATATGGAATGTAAAAGAGAGTAAAAATCACTTAATGCACAAAGTGTTCAACTTGTACCCTCGTGTTGCATCAGTGTTGGGAAATTAAGGAGACGATCAGTCAGATACAGACATGGAATGTAAAAGAGAGTGAAGGACAATTTGTGTACCATGAAACCATATTTGATACACTGAATTGGATACTCGATAGGGCTAAAGAAGATAGACACATGAAAATGTATGTAAATTATAGTATCCTATCATGACACGTTATGCTAGTTAGTGACTTTTTAAGCAAAAGAAAATGCACGTCAAGAATCATTTATAGGGCTTGTGGCTTTTTCAGATTTGTGAGATACCATGAAACTCGGTAGTGTTTTTGACTTGGCCTCATAGCTATTTGGCAGGAAGAGGAGTCTCTTAGAAGATTTTGGCAAGATAATGTGGACTCTCGGGAGAAAGTGTAAGTTTCTTTCTTTTCTTTTCTTTTCTTTTCTTTTTTTTAAAGAAAAAAAGGATAAAGCCAATTGAGTTTATCCAATTGGAACTTTGAAAAAAGAATATACTAAGATTATATTTAGATATAAATAGGTTATAATCAATTTACAAAAAAAAAAAAAAAAAAAAAAAAAACAACCCGATAAAGGTTTCAAAATAGAATTCGGTTATATATTGTGAATGCATTGTCAAGATTTCCATATTCAGGACGTACAAAATATTTTTCACGTCGCATTTCTATCATTTTCTTGTGTAGTTAGTCTAACTTTTATAGCCGATACAGTCTTAACGCGGACTTCTACTCCAAAGCACAGCCTTCAAAGGCACAAGTAGGAACCTTGTACCCAGGGGTGGAACTTCATATATGGCTGCAGCCTGGAGTGAAATATGGTCTAGAAAGCTTTATAGAAGGGAACAATTCACGAATACCCATTTAAAAAGTTTACTTATTTTCATACTTAGAATCCAATTTTCTGTATTTTCCCAAATTCACAAATCGAAGAATAACAAAAATTAAAGAAAAAGGAATTATAGAAGTAGAAAGAGTGCAAATCTCAAACTTCTAAGTGGAATAATTTTGCTTCCATCTCTGGTGCAGGCAAGATTCATGCATGGTGGTGATGTTTGGTTGGAGGTGGGACTTTGTATACTAATTTGGGAAATTAAAAGAAACTTAAAACAGTAATTTGCACCCTATAAAATTGTCCAAAATTTTTATATTTACTTCATATAATTAGCCCAAGATAAATTCAGCCAACCCCATAGTAGTATATTTAACGTAACTTGAAATTTTAATCCACCCCTCTGACTCATCGGGGCATGAGTTCAACAACTATTTGCCAAATTTGATCGAGCTTTTGTATCGAGTTGTTCCACTCACAAGAAATCTCGATAGATTTCACCATTTCAATTGATTATTTAGCTCACCATATTTCGTTAGTAATTTTAACATGCAATGTCATAATATTGCAAAGACTACATGTTGGTTTGGTGCCAACACAACTGTTACCATTGTAACAAGATCATTGCAAGAAAGATGTTAAAGAAGCTTTCCACAAAATATCGAGTAATTTTGTAGTTCTTTTTAAGTGGGAACAGATTTTTTGTTATATTGAACTTTAGAATATTCCAATGGCATTCTCCCATTGGTCTATAATCTGCGACCTTTAAACCTGATTACAACTAAGCAATATAAAATAATGAAGAAGATTGAACAACGAATCTGATTCTTAATGAAAAAGAAATAAGGAATTTCATCAATCACTGTTTACAAAAATGCCCTTAAGCTAAAATATAAATCATAAATTCTTTCGATTTTTAATATTTTAAACTTTTAGACGTAATACTTCTATCTTCAAGATCTTACTATTATTAATTACTTATAAATTTATTATGCTTCTAGCTGTTAATAGAAAAACCAATATCATCTCTAGTTACATCGTATGTGAAAAATAGATATAAAGTACATTCATCGAATTTCTAAAGACTTAAACTACAAACATCTCGGTTGTGTTTATATTTAAATACGAAGTTTCTAGATAGTACCCGGCAGCCAATTGTAATTCATTAGATAAAAAGATGAATAAAGTGGGAGATGACTTTCCAAAACTAAAGGACCATTTCTTGTAATGATTCTTCTCTTTCCTTCTTTTTCTTTTTCTTTCTTTTTTATTTTTATTTTTTAAAGTTTTTGCTTGTAAGGATTTGGTATTACTTGGTGATGAGAAAGTTTTCAACTCAATGATTCAATATGTTTGGAATAATCTACTTATTTCGGGAACTTCTAATTATAACAAGATCATAAGATAAATTTTTTAATCCTTAAGTGTCAACTAAAATAACTTCAAGTTTAACTTGACAATCTTGAGTAAACAATGTTATAAAATAACGATCACATTTTGAAGCTAAATTCTTTTTTAATCAACACACTTAGAAATGGAATTTTTAATTAATAGCAATAAAGACAATAAAGAAAAGTACAATATTTTAAGTAGAAGGCACTAGCCGATGTTTGATGTAATCAAAAAACTGATTTTTAGTAGATTTTAACAAAATATAATAAAATGTATTATTCAAAAACTAATTAAAGTTGTAAACCCAATGAAATATGTGGTTAAAATTAATTTTTTAATTTGACTCAAAATTTTAAGCCACAACAAACAGTGGCCTAATCTACTATTAGGGATCTCGAAGTTGACCTTGTTGAAAAATTACATCGATATTGTGCATATTATATTCACAAAAATCATGATGTTTATTTGCATGAAATCGATACATAATTTCGTCTTACCGGAATAGATAATTTACCGATTCTGAACGTATGAATCTGGATTCATTTTCTTTCCATTCTTGAGTGAAAACATATCATTCTTTGGATCGAACTTTGCAATATAAATATATAAATCAGATTAATTATTTTTTCTAAAATCAAATCATAATAAAAAGAAATCAGAAAATAAAGTGAGAATATGCACGTGATGGATTTTGGTCGAGGCAAGTGTTGGACACTTAGTCCTTAAGATGAATTTGTCCTGCATCGGTGCCAACGATTTTTCGACAATCATCTCCCAAGATACAATGATCAGGTCAA